ATCCAGAAAATGGTGCAGCATCGTGTGATTGAGTCTGTAAGTTTGACTTCGTTGATTCTTTTTTTTCTGCATTTTTTTCTGTATTTTGATTTTACTGTCGTTTTAAATACTACAGCACCCTTTAAATACTACAGTTTTAAATACAACGGCCGCAATTTATCATTTAAACTGCCTTTAACTTGGCCATACATTGAAGTTTCACTGAAATTAATAATTGTTTCACAGGCCTCGGCACATGTTATTGTGAATGAGCTATGGAATTTGATGGAAGCCGAATGCGAGGAATTGCGTATTTTACAAACACTCACTCCTTTGGTAGGCACCGAACTGCTTGTCACTGGGCACTGGCTTGCCAAGGTACCATTTTGGGGTAAAGGCCTCCATTTTCGTTTTTGTTTAGGGTAAAGATCCACTCCTAGATATTTTTTGGTGTAAAAATCTGCAGTGACTCAGCACAGTTCCATTCGAATGCATGTAGTTGTTCTGTTTTCAGTGTCTTGTAATGTGCTTCCGTTTAAATTTTGCGAAAGATCCAATCGTGATCAATACGGCTTCGGCAACGGTGAGGCAAATGGTGAGCTGCGTCTACGAAAGAGTCATTCAGGTAACTTTTTCATAATTGTTCAGTTCCACTTCCTGTTTCTCTCTTTCTTCGTCGGATAGAAGCTATGCATTGCAGGAAGATGGCTTAAAAGGATGCGAAATGCCAATCGTTCATCAGACTGTGCGATTCAATGTCAAAGCAGCACCACCAACACTGCGACCTTGTGCCTCTGACGGCTATATGCTCTTTCATGTAAGCCACTTTCCTGATCAGGCACATTGCCTTACATTCTTGGAAAATTGCAGTAGGTGAGGGCTGACAGTCAACCCGAAACAGTTCTTTCTTTGATGCGATGATCCTTCAAAATGTACCTTTTTCGTTGTTTTAGTTTTATTGCGATTAAAATGTCCCCCCAGCCAGATTGTAGTTTCAGCAGTATCACTCCGGGAGTAGTGCATTATGAACCGAATTGTGAATTTTTTGCTTCGTCCGAAACACTAATTTTTGCCTTCCCTTGATTTTGCCAACTTTTGTTTTGCCGTGCAATCAGTGTATGGTTAACATTTCTTTATTTTCAACCTTTTTTATCGGAATAATACATATGAGAAAAGTCTTTGTTAATATTTTGTCAAGATAACGAATCTTTTTCAATTTATTCTCGCTTACAACGATTGTTATGGCTAGATCTCGACCCAGATGCTTATCTAGGCATTGACTTATCCAGGAAGAAGGGGAGGGGTGAAGGACCTTTCCCCCCAGGGGCTCAGGTAACAGTTGTTTTACTTTACAAAAGTCTGTTTGGTATCTCCTGTCGCCTTCCCTCAGCCAGAAGCCCTGCCACTCTCAGAGTAATGTCCACTAGCAAGGGCGAGGGGAGGGAGGAGGGGTATTGGGTTTTCCGACGCGGTGACCAAGTGGGAAGAGGGGGAGGAGGTGGGGAAAAAATCCTTCGTCCCCCCAAGAGACTGCTCTAGATTCGCTTGTGTATTTAGGGCTTCTTGTAACTGGGTTGAATTTTCTACGAGCGAGTTTTTGAAGAAAGCACTTGAGCAGCTCTCTGGAAATTTTGTGCTGTGCATCGGAACTAAAACTCTGTGGCCTGCTTTGAGCAGAATAGTCCTTCGCAGATTGATTGTTTTTAATTAATTATCTGCTCTGGTCGCGTGCTACGCTATTCGATAAGGAGACAGTGCCTTTTTTGTGTTCGCTAGGAATTGCGTTTACGGTTTCCAGATTGCTTGCACTCATACTCCATGGCGGTGTTTTCAGGATCTTTGTTTGCTGATAAATGCCGAAGCTCCGTGTTGGTTGATTGGAATTCAAGAAATGACGCGCACATTAGGCTTAGAGTTGCTAGAATCAGTACTTTCTTCCTACCCATCTGTCTTCATTAAGGTCTGCCAGTTTTTTGCAACAACATTTTTGCATGAATAACAAGAGTTCTGTAAAAATCGTCATAACACTGCAAATTTTCAGTGGGTTTGAAGCAAGATAGTTCAGTTCCAAAGAATTCTTAGTAATAAGGCTATTTTCTGGCGTGAGGTAAACTTTTAGGGCACCGCAATTTCATTTGCCTCATTTTTTTCCACTTATTACATTTTAAAGACTTTAAAGAACTAAAGTTTTGACTGTAAAAAACTGGCCACTTTTTTGCATAAAGAATGGTTCCACTTTCGAACATAACTGCTGAGACGGTTTAATTTGAGGCATGCCCAGCAGGTGAAAAATGAACATAATGTGCAGCTGGTCACTGAGATGAAATGCTTGATGTGATTATTGCAGTAGACGGATCCAGGGAGGAGGGAGCGGTAATGGGTTCTTCCTTCCCCCTCCCTCCTCCCTCTCCCAGCAGCACAGAATGCAGTGATTGAACTGTAGAAAATTCTCTTCCGCACTCTCGGTTGGCTCTCCCCCCTCATCGTCCTCCAGGGTGCCGCCGTGAATCCGCCCTTGATTGTTGCGAAATCAAAATGATATCTTCCCCGCCTTTGTCCCTCTGCATGCTTTATGAGGTGCTTAAGAAGTGTATGCTTAAATTTTTTTTAGCATCCGGAGTTTGCCCAGCTACTGAAGGATCAGGTGTGCCCACTGATAATCAAATTGTTTGCCCCAAATCATAAACAGATACAGGTTTCATCTTTTCCTTCTTTTTTTTATGTGAAAATTAAAAGCATTTCACTGAAAATCAGTGATTATTACTCAGTTCCACTACAGTAGAATTATTCAGGTTTCACCGCAGCATCCTTATTCATCGAACTGGCGTGCATCCGCGGATTCTACTTCATCCCAGGTTCCCTGCTCCCCGGAGCGTATATATTTCCCAATTTCAATGCGACTTTTGCGTGTGGTAGTAATTCTGATCACGCTCTACTATCACATACTGGTTAGTTTATTATATTTCTCTCCTTTTAATTATGCTTCAACTAATTCAACGTCGATATTTGTCTCCGCTTTTATTTTATATACTTTAATAAAGATAACTAGAGGACTTGCTTCTACGATTTGTTGATTATTTTTTTTTTTCGGAAATAGATTAGTCTTGTTGCATTAATATGTGAAGCGCTAGCCTTTTCTCTAATTTTTTTACACGCAGAAGTTTTTTAACAGTCTTGCCTTAGCGTTCTGTTCCTCAAAACTTGAACAACTAGTAGAGTGCTTCCGACTTAAGAAATGTTGCAAATTTACCGTTAGTACAATTAGGCACATGGCGTCGATAAATTTTGTACGTTTTGCAAAAAAAAAAA